ATAATAAATTAGAAACCAAGTGAATTGTAAATAAAATGTGTTTTTTTTTATAAATGAAATGAAACTACAGTGTCCTAGTCTTCTTTTCCCTGTGTACATGTCAACCTACCTGGCTCACACTGAATTGGTAAAGAAGTTTTGGGTAATGGGAGTACAAATATGCAAATTAGTAATGGGCCCTGCAACATTGTTGCAACAAAGTATCTATGGTGTGCAAAGGGTTAATGCTACGACCTTTATTTCTCCTGTTATCACGTTCGATTTCACACGTAACACGAGATGTCGCAGTGTATGGAAAATGGTCTATTATAGATGTTCAGCATCCCAAAAAATTGTTTCATGTTGTCAGAAATTGATTTGAAAATTGGTTATCATAACCATGTTTTTTTTGGCACTAAATTAATTCAGTAACGCCATAATATGACACGATATGACAAACTTAATTAAACTAAATAGCAGAAATGAACAATCATGCTTCACCCAAATATTTACCTGACTTTCTCCTTTCTTGTACTCCAAGGAACAATCTAATAACATAATTTTAGGATTTAGAATTTTTCTTTTCATACGTGGATGAGTCACATCCTTGTTGATCATAACACCTTTCAAGACTTTGCTATCCTCGATTGTACCACCAGGAACCTGTAGAAAGAGATAGAAGAATCAACTTTATGTAGATGTTTCTACAGTCAAAGAATTCATTAAAACTTCATTGAAGTTTAATATTCAAAGTCTGACTGGATTCTTTGAAATGTCATGAACAGATTTAGAAACATTGACAAACAAATATGATGTGAAGAAAGGTCATGAGGTCATTTATCTCGATACAAAGCGATAACCTTCTTGATCTGCGTATTCAATAAATAACATTTGATCAGAGAAACATAAATAGGAAAATAATTGTTAATGTTAATTCAAAGAATGTTTCAATATGCAACTGTAACAAAACATACAAAAACAAACTCATTACCTTTTCTACTTTAGCGTATCTTTTAATATCAATCTCACGACGGCCATTTTCCTCTAAAGCAACGGTGTGTGTAGCATCTAAAGCAATTTGTACAGCTAGATCAGCCCTGGGAAAGAAAGCAGTAAAACGTGTGAAAAACTGATCCCTCAGTGTAGAAGCTACAGTGGCATTAATCTTTAATTAAAAATCTTTAATTAACCTACCACTTATTGATAAATTTAGTTCCTATAGAACTGTGTATTATTTTCTTCATTTCATCGGTATTCGTAATATCAATGGCTTGACTGTAACAAGAACAGAGTATGGTTAATGACACAGCTGTAATACATATCAACAATACAACCACAGTGCAGTGTATCTCAAATCAGGTGCATTCAAATAAAAACATAGCATAACTATTACAACCTTGTCCATTGAGAACTTAGATTAATAAATAATTGTATGGATGAATATTGTTGACATTTCATAGCTGTTGATAAGATTCTCATATTTTAAGATGATCAGATACAAAATTTTAAGTGACATTTAATGAAGACCTTGAAAAACCTGCATAGAACATGTATCACAATCGAGATTCCTATAATATCCAAGTTTAAAAGAAATTGCATAAAAACTATTGTAACCACAAAAAAAGTTTTATAACCCAGTCACCAACAACATTTTCCCGTCATATGCCTCACATTTACGATGATACAGACAAGATAAAAAGGCACAACATTAAATGGAATAATTTTCAGACTGTTGAATCTCAGGAAAACTGAATCAGCACAGAGACAATTTTTTTAAAATAAGTCATGGTACATATTGGGGCAAATTGACTGAACAATCTTTGACAGAGACAAAGATGCTTTATCCAAAGTAGTTTCAGCAAAAAAAAATTTTACCTGCCAAAATGTACATTTTTTTCATTTTAATGCATTTTCTATAACAATACACTTATCAAAGTTTGACCAAATGGACTTAATTTCTAATTGTTGACAGGTCTTGACTGAGCATTGTTACCTTATCTTATCCCTAGTCATGTCTATCATGTCTTCTAAAGCTTGTTTATAAGCAGATATAATCACAGTAGGATGCATCTGTTGTTCCAGAAATTGTTGTGAAACTGCCATAAACTCACCAGCTACAGCACAGAAAAAAGAAAGGTATTATGGTGCTTATTTATAGTTTTGACATTTAGTACGAGAAATATTACTCTGTGATATAGACGATAAATGTCACATTAAAATTGTATTGTCTGCAAAATTTGGTTTGATGCCTTTGTGTACTGTAATAAATGCGACATCACTGTGCAGTTACATACATTCGATTGTGACCGAGTTCATAGGGCATCATTAGGACACCAAATCACAAGCAAGATTCTCTGTTCAACATTGGACACCATTTCACAATAATATTCAACATAAAACATTTTCCATTAAGATTAGTTTAGTTTTAGATATAAACTTCTTGAGCCATTTTTTGTATAGCCATTAGGTTCATCCTTGAATTTACAAGATGACTTGTGTTACCACTGCGTCGGAATGAACATCAAACGTTGAATAGGGTAGTTGTGTTTAGCATGCTCACAAAGCAGAATTCAAACAGAAATGCATCGCAGTATTCATTGTAGCGAGGACAAAAAATGGCGCAATATGTTTTGGCTGCTTTCAACCATGGTAGGTAATGGGAGACAAGATGGGATGCTATTGTTTGTACTAAACTGTGGTAAACATACAGTATATGTATTTTACACATACTACTACTGTAGAATACTTTATTTTAGCTGGAATTAATTTTCACTGAAAAGACTTTTCAGCGGTTTTGTATGGAAGTTGAATGTAAAATATAGGAAAAAAAGGTATATTTGCTGGATTTTTTTTTTTACTAAATCATTTCTTCAGCAAAAATAGCGAAAATTAATTCCAAGCTAAAATAAAGTATTTTACAGTATTTAAAAGTTGTACGTTATGCACCCAGTTCTTGGATAATACTAGCCACTGACATCACTCATAACAAGTTTTATGAATAAGTGATATCAGGTGATAATCTTGATTACAAATCTATTGCAAATTATACACAATATTTTTGTTACTCTGCTTACCCAAGATGATAACAGAAGTTGTACCATCGCCAACTTCCTCATCTTGTGTTCTACTAATTTCAATCATGGACTTAGCAGCTGGGTGCTGAACGGTGATCTGAAACAAATACAACAATGAGATTTGTCACATACCTTCAGGAACAGATTTAGCCAATGTTACATCACATGTAAGCAAAGACATAACAAGTCTAATCCATTATTCAAACTTATCAATAATAAATAAAAGACACCATATTAAATTGGGTTACTAAAATACAATCAACCCATAAACATGATCTACTGTAAAAGGGTTAATTATTCACTGGGTTTTAATTTAGCTTAATTCGCTGACTGGAAAATGCGCTAAATTAAAACCCAGTGAATATGTAAAATTTAGCATAGAACATATTATCTAAATGATAAAACCATGAATTTAAAACCCACTGAATATTCCTGAAATGGTATATCAGCGAAATTTAAACCCAGTGAATATTTGTCATTTTACAGTATGTTAGGGTTAAAAAAAAATCTTTTTGAGAGAGTTTATTTATTCCTTGTTTTTATTATACATTTAGTATGTTAAAAGCTAAATTTGTGGTTAGAGTGGGGTGTAAATTGTTGTGCTACTGTCTATAAATCTGCTAATACTTACTTCTCTCAGGATTGCATTGCCATCATTCGTCATTACAATACCACCCATTGGGTCCATCAACATCTGAGAAACAAAGCAGAATATTTAAAGATTGACATGGTATATAAACAGGCGCGGGTAAATTCTATTATTCAAATGAAGTCTCCCTCACCCACATTAATACATGTAGATCAAATCCATGAACAAAAGTGTTTCACTTCCTGGGTCTGATATGATGCAAGGAGAATTAACATAAATATTACTTGAATATACATGTAATCTCATACTATTATTACAGTTCTCTTAGTTGTCTGAGGTAAAAAGTGATCGCCCCAGTGATTAACTCAGTCACTTGGGGGCTGAAAATCAATAAATACTAATTTTTTTTAAATTATCCACTATATGCATATAAATAAACATAGCACATAGTAAATCGACACCTTGTCTGTTTCAAATTTTGATTTGTTACCCTAAAATAAAAACAAAATATATATATTATAACACAACTGTTGTATAATATAACTGTTTAAATCTGGACTGATTTTCACCACCAGTTGTCAGGACAACCATGAAACCTAGGATTTGAATTCTGTTTTTGACAGCCACCAACCATAACACCACGAAATAGCAACTGCTTCAATTGATATTGGTTTTTTACTGTTTTTGTATAAAAATAATTTTCCATATGAAATTTTCTTCTCACCTTCATCATTGACCTTGGCCCCAGGCATGTTCTAATTACATCTGCAATAGTCTGTGAAGATAAATAACACTCACTATTTTGAATTCAATATTGAGTGATGTATACAGGAAACTGAAGTGTGAAATAACCCATATAAATAGCCTTCAATCATTTGGCATTGATTTAAAGCACTTTTATAGACTGCGCAAGTTTTCTTTTGGTACCACACCACCTCTATCCAAGAAACCCAAATTATATCAATGCAGTGTAGTGATTTACTCGATGACAGCAGCCACATATAAAGTGCATTTGAATATCTGAAAGCAGCAATGCTATTTCATGATTGATCAGTTTTCAAATGTCACTTTATAATTTTTTTTTCAAATTACCATTACACGCAATTGACAATATCCAGTGGTACCAATGAAACAGGGGTCTGTAGTTATCTTTCGGAAATACAATCTTATCGATAAAATCAGTGCATACCAAATGTTTTCTGTATGAATTAACTTCTCATGTGACACTCACACAAACACTGTACGATATCAACTATTTACCAATAAAAAAAGCATTACCGCTGACTGAAAAAAGGTGACAATGAAGTTGTATCTTGTTCTGACCTTTTACGACGATATTGTGAATTACTTCGGGTTTTTTTTTTATTCAACACACAACACGTATTACAAAATAGTAAATTAGGGTTAGGGAAGGTATGAAACACTGAAAGTTGACAATCAATATTTTATTTCTATGTTATACACTACGAAACCTACTTCCTAAACCTAATGCCAAGACATGCTGTTCAAAATTCTCAAACAGTAACATACCATGATGTCATAATTTGTTTAAGCATGCATAACAAAATAATTAACCAAGATGACGGTAATCCTGTATTTACTAATTCCTTACTGAAGTTTATTTATCAAAAAAGTAATTAGCATGTACAATTTGTATCAAGAAAACTGTACTTTTAAGATATTACTATGGAACCCTATTCTACACAAACGCCCGTTTATTTTATTTTCAAAACAATTAATTTAATTGGTCATATTTATACAATGCCACACTATAAGTGTTACTGACCATGTAGAAAGTAAATGATAAAGGTTAATGCGTCAGCGTGATAAAATTGAAGCCAATTGTTCACGCGGGATTCTATGAGTATTTTTTTTCTTTTTTCAATCACATGTCAGTTATTGCCAATGACAGCAAAGTGAATTCAGCTGAATCATCTTATACCGGCGTTCAACTTCAGCCAAAATTAACCAAGTTCCGTACGGAATAAAGAGAAAGCTAGCTCTCCTGATATTACGTAATTTAATTACTCAAGGAAAAACATAACAAATTTCGATTTCAAAAGGCACCATTACTCATGTCACCACATGTTGGATTGCGACGAGAACCACGTGAAATTTCCAAGATGGCGACTTACCTTAGCAGCAGTGACATTACTGAGTTGGACTTTACGGCCGAATTCTCTTTTTGTATTTTGATCTAAAAAGTAATCGAATAGCATAGTGAGCTTAGCAAATATCAAATGAATATAAAATAAGAAAGAAATACAAAATATGCTTACTGAGAACTAGAATCGGTGCAGATCCAGGGCCCATCATCTTGACAAGTTTTTTCTGGAAAATGTGATAGAGAAAAATGCAGTAAAACTAAGTGGGTGGGAAAAATAAACAATATGGCTGCGTTTTGCAAACCATCAACAACAGATACGATTAACAAATAAATAACTTGTGCAGTAAATTGAAATAGTGTCCTTATTTATAATAGACTGTACATTAAGAACAGTAAAACTGAAAAAGTTTTCTGAAAATATCACAATGTATCAGAAATCTTTGTTACGCTACTAGGGAGACATAATGAATATGTTTGTTCATGAAATATTTCCTACACTGAGACTTTAAAATAAAAATAGATTGTGCGAACAAAACACGGGAAGCAGTACCACGATCTGCAAGTTCATTGATAACATGTCTGTTAATTATGCTGCTGGGTTATCTTCTTATGACAATAAAGGAAAATGTGGACTTCCCGAGGTAAGCATATTGTTAGTTGGAACGGGGGAAATTAGTTTCAACAGAGGAACAACTAAAATGTTTATCGCATAACCGGGTATAGCCCAAAAGTTCATACTGAAAAGTCACAGTCAAAAAGCAATCGATACAGTTTGGAGGAATGGCCCCTTCTACAAATTACTGAATAGTGGCATCAATGTGGAAATCTATAAAATTATTGGGCACATACTAGTATATAATAATACACAAGTATGTATACGCTACACCACAATTTCACCAATATTAGAGACCATAAACGGAGTCCGACAAGAATGTGTTATTACCGGGAGTCCTATTCCTTATATTAATGACTTACCGTACTTATTACTTATTTCTCTGCAGGAGATCAAGTTCAGTTAAATGGCAATAAAATAAATTTACTCCTCTGTACAAATGATCTCGTATTAATCTCTACATCACAGGTACATACTGTAGAATACTTTATTTTCGCTTGGAATTTATTTTCGCTATTTTCGCTGAAGGGATGATTCCGTGAAAATAAAATCCAGCGAATATACTTTTTTTCCTATGTTTCACATTAAACTCATGAAAAATCAGTGAAAATAAATTTCAAGCAAAACGCCCAAAAAGCCTTTTCAGCGAAAATTAATTCCAGCGAAAATAAAGTATTCCACAGTATATGCAAAATGCCTCAAACAACCTTCAAAATTACTATCAAAAATGGAAGTTACATGTTAATATGACAAAAACAAAAATTGTTATCTTTAGAAGGAAAATAACCGAAAAGTTTTATTATCAAAAACAAAATATTACTAGCGTTGATTCATAATGTTACCTTGGTGTAACAATTCACTCAAATGGTCGTTTTACTGATACAAGAAAGAACATGGCAATTAAAGCTGCCCCTTGGCCTATATAAACTAAACAATTGATACCAAGGGAAACTATCTGTAAAACATATATAAATCTCTTCAAGGTCGGCATACAGCAAATTTTACAATACAGTTCAGATATTTGGGGTACTAAAATTCTCATTAAAGTTAAATGGGATAAATCCCCAACTGAAAAAGTTCACTTAAAAATTTACAGGCACAGCTACTATTAATAATTGACATCAAAACTAATCTATTGAAGTACTATTCATAAATTAAAAACCTTCCCGACTACAGCCTGGTGAAACAAGCATTTCATGAACAAAAACTTAAATTTATTGTGAATTCTATCTGTGTAATATATATTGAAAGAAGAAAATCTACAAAAATAAGATATTTTATCTTCACTAAAGTATTTATAAAACATTAACAGAAAACTATATAAATCTCTGGAGACAAATAACAAAGTTGAGAATGTATGTAGAGTTCAAAAACAACTACAGTTTTGAACCTTACTTCACTACATTAAATACCCCAAAAAAAAATTATTATGTCTAAACAAGTACTGTAGAATACTTTATTTTCGCTTGGAATTTATTTTCGCTATTTTCGCTGAAGACATGATACCGTGAAAATAAAATCCAGCGAATATACTTTTTTTCCTATATTTTACATTAAACTCATCAAAAATCAGTGAAAATAAATTCCAAGCAAAACGCCCAAAAAGCCTTTTCAGTGAAAATTAATTCCAGCGAAAATAAAGTATTCCACAGTAACCACAATTTAGTAATTGAAAAAGGAGAATACCCAACCAAAGCCGCCCTTAGAAAATAGAATTTGTAAACAATGCCTGCTACATGAGATTGAAGATGAATTAAACTTTCCACTACTTTGCCCCTCATCCATAACTCTATTCCTAACCCTGTCCTTCCAGTGCTCCTCCTTCCATTTTAATTGTATATCTGGAAAAGCATACACAATTATATATAAGAACTGGAGTGTTAGGATTTAGGTTTATGTTAGGGATGGATGCTTTAAGAAACTCTTTCCAGCATTTCGGCTTCTCATTTGATTGTGTGTTCATATTCTTTGAATAGTGTTGCAAAGTACATTGATACACAAAGATTTGATTCTGTTTTGAATACCATTTCCGGATTAATCAATTTGAATTCTAAAATCTAACATTCATTTTGATTTATAAAAATGTAGAGATACCGGTAGTTCATATTATTTCAGCTCTTTGAAAATTTACCAGAAATGTGTGTGTGAGGATTACCTACCGGTATCACTAAAACAACAGTGTTACACAAGTACATGTTGTCGCTGTAGTACCAGTAATATTATTTAACCCGATCGCGATGGTGAGGATGTCTTTTGTGGGTATAGCAACAAAAATCAAAACAGAGTCACTTTGCACAGTTATCCAATTGATATAAAATAAAATTTGAGACAAAATAATTGTTGTAACGTGATCAAAACTTCCAACCAGGGTGTTAGCCAGCCACCCACCAAACGGACTGGCAACTTTTTCCCATTGATTTGTTTTTTTCTATTGTTCTTTGATAATTTTACCAAAATGCATCCAAAACCATCTACATTTTCATAAAGTTGAATTGTTTTGGACTGGCAGTTGCAAATTCCTTGCTAATAGCCTGCTTCCAACATATGTTCAAATTCATATTATCTGTATTTTCTGAAAAGTAGAACCCATGCATTTCACAGGCACTTGAAATCTGTAATTTGGTAAATCCCAAGTGTTCTACAACTACATTATGTAAAGTCTGGGGAATATTTATGAATATTTTAGTGTTTTGACCCTTGTGCGTCCGTCCGTCTGTCCATCCGGACCTGTATCCTAGGCATGCCTTGACCAATCACAATCAAACAGTAGACTTCGCACATACATCATACATAATATTATACATATGCACTTCAATTTGTTTCACGATCTGATTCAAGATGGCCGAATGGTGGCCATTTTTGTGCTAAAAAATCATCAAAATCAAGCATTTATGTATGGATTTTGTTTAAACTTGATACATTGGTTGGACATTATGGAACCTTTATGCACATCATTTTATTTTTCAGATCCGATTTAAAATGGTCGACTGGCAGCCATTTTGTTTTAATGAATGCAGTTCTAGTGCCATATTTCTAGTGCCATGCTTTGACTGATTATGTTCAAATTTTATATATTCATTATACATCATGACATAGATGTATTGGTTTGACTATCTGATTCAAAATGGCCAAATGGTAGCCATTTTAGTGCTAAAAAATCTTCAAAAATCTAAAAAATCAAGCATTTCTGGCATTCCAGAACTGGATCTTGGCTTTTACATCATGTTATATATATTCAAAATGGCCGACTGGTGGCCATTTTGTTTTAATTAATGCTGTTCCAGAGCAATATTTCTCAATATGGACAAGTACTCGTTTGACGATCAGATACAAGATGTCAATCATTTCAATGTTAAAAAATCATCATAATCAAGCATCATCTCCTGGATACTGTTGACATGTTTATGTTCCAACTATATTACTATAAACAAAACTACCGGTATATACATGTATCTTAAATTTGATAACTAACAGGGACTGTGCCATGAATGGCTTGTTTTTCTTTTGTAGAAATTTGACAGTTCAGAGACAGTAGCAGATAAAGTGAGGATGTTAGCGGATATTATAAAAGCTAGTAACCATCTTGTTGTTCACACTGGAGCTGGTATCAGCACATCTGCAGGGATACCAGATTTCAGGTAAGAATTGGCACCACTCAAGTGAAAGTTCATCTGTAAAGACAAATTATAGAAAATTCATGGAAAAGTACAAAAGGTAGAACCACAATTCAGTATGAAAAAAAAATTCATAAAACTGAATAGTAGCATTCCTATTGTAATGGCACTGTCAGTTTTGTTTTTCATATCAGTGCTACTATGTATTACTGGTTCAGTCAGTGTTGTCCCCAGTAATATATTGACGATGTAATAGAGAATAAGTTTACAGATGTAATGTGCAAAAACATTGTGCATATTCATTGTTGAACCATCTACATGCAGTGGGTAGAATAATTTGTTTGAATCAACTAATGTCTCTAAATCAATGAACCAACTAATGTCTCTAAATCAATGAAACAACTAATGTCCCAAAATCAATGAATCAACTAATCTCTAAATCAATGAACCAACCGATGTCTCTAAATCAATCAACCAACAAATGTCTCTAAATCAATGAATCAACTAATGTCTCTAAATCAATCAACCAACAAATGTCTCTAAATCAATGAATCAACTAATGTCTCTAAATCAATGAATCAACTAATGTCTTTAAATCAATGAATCAACTAATGTATCTAAATCAATCAACCAACTAATGTCTCTGAATATCAACTAATGTCTCTAAATCAATAAACCAACTAATGTCTCTAAATCAATGAATCAACTAATGTCTCTAAATCAATCAATCAACCAACTAATGTCTCTAAATCAATGCATCGACTAATGTCTTTAAATCAATGAATCAACTAATGTCTCTAAATCAATCAACCAACAAATGTCTCTAAATCAATCAACCAACTAATGTCTCTAAATCAATGAATCGACTAATGTCTTTGAATCAACTAGTGTGACTTGTCTCTAAATCAGTGAACCAATTAATGTCTCTAAATCAATGAATCAACTAGTGTGACTTGTCTCTAAATCAATGAACCAATTAATGTCTCTAAATCAATGAATCAACTAATGTCTCTAAATCAATCAACCAACAAATTTCTCTAAATTAATGAACCAACTAATGTCTCTAAATCAATAAACCTACTAAAGTCTCTAATTAAATGAACTAACTAATGTCTTTTATTCAATGAAGCCACTAATGTTTATTATTCAATGTACTAACTAGGTTTTAGGTTAAATTCCAAATTGAAAGTTATTTTCTTTGTTTAAAAAATAGGGGACCAACAGGTGTTTGGACTTTGGAAGAAAAAGGTAAGTCGCCGCACATGGATGTTACCTTTGATGGCGCTATACCGACCAAGACACACAGGGCACTGCTAGCATTGGAAGAAGCTGGTATCCTAAAATATCTTGTTAGTCAAAATGTAGATGGACTTCATCTCAGATCAGGATTCCCAAGGTAAGAAGCACACTACTGTAAATTACTTTGTTGAAATGTATGTTTGCAGAAGGGGTGAATGAGGGAAAATAAAATCCAGTGAAGATACTTTTTTCCCCTTATTTTACCTTCAACTCAAAAACAATCAGTGAATATAAATTTTAAGACTTACAATATACAGAACAGCCAAAATGTCCTTCAGCGAAAATTGATTTCCAACTAAATTAAACAAATTTTCAGTGATTACTGGTAGTCTCCTGTATCTTAACAAAACAAGTTTACACAATATAATTTATAGATTTATTTGAACTTCCTGTTTGACACTGCCCTCTAGAGATAGTATTGGGAAATTTATTTGTATGGATAAATCACAGGGATAGAGGGACTGTGATAGAATGCCCAGAAAAACAGACTTGTTCTAGCTCTACTGATTTTCAGAATCTGTCGTCCAACTTGACTTCTAGAAATTAACAATGAATTTGCGTGTTATGTTTTCTATTTTAATTTACCAATTTGTCATTGAAACAAATTATAACACCACATATTATGGATTGCAAAAAATCGCATATTTCTGTAGTCACACTTTAGGGTATGAATTTATTGCATCTTTAGAAATACAAGCTTATAACAATATGTAGCAATAACATTTTGTGAAAAACTAAAACATAAATATGAAATTAAAAATAAATCAAAATAAGTTTACATATTTTGTGTGAATATAGTGTGGGACATTGGTTAGCGCAAGGACACTAGTGTCTTTGGTTAATGTACTGATGTCATTAGGCATGAGGTATATAAATTGGTCATTGGATTTAATTATTTGTTACAGAAAATTAATTTGGGAAAGTAGGTCTTCATTCCATCAGAAAATATATTTCATCTTCTACAAAGTTGCTATCACACTATTTGAAAATTCTGTTTGTGATTTGTGTTTTGGAATGTGTTTATTGGCGATCCGCTCCGCCAGGATTGCCCTTATAATCACTTTTGTCGTTTTGTGTGTGTGTGTGATTTCCAGTGTTTTCATGTATTATTTCTTCTGTGATTTTTTTGGCTTGGCCGATTTCTCTCAAACAGGTAGGTCACACCTTCATCCTGGTTATTAGGAAAAATCTGAAAATTTATTTTGGCCCACCATTGCCATAGCAACAGCCAAAAAACTGATTTTTGGATAGCTTCGTGCCAAATGTATCTCCTCCTACAAATTTAGGATAAAACACCTCAGACATAGCTCATTCTACTCAGCTTGAGTGTGGGCACAAAGTTACTACTGGTATTTGAATTTTTGATATTTTTTTTACCGAGAAATTTGACCCCAAACTTTTCACCAGCAACGGCTCTTAACTCCTCCGTGATTTTTTTGGCTTGGCTGAGGTAGGTCGTATCGTCACTAATTGGAAAAAAATCCTGGCCCACCACCGGGCCCACCACTGCCATTGCAACATCCAAAAACTGATTTTTGAATACTTTCGCCCCAAATTTATTACCTCCTACCAGTTTTATAATAGCAGTGTTCAAATGATCATGCTTTATATTTTGGCTACGTTGCACACTGGTAAGAGATCACTGATGCCGACATTGTTACACTGTATCAACGTAATCCCAACGCAACTTTCAACTTTGAATGAACTGTAAATGCTGCCTTCATTCTAGAATATACTATCGCAAAACTGTTGGAAATAATAAATGTAACAGCAGAATACGTCCTAGTAATAAACTAAGTGACTTCTTCTTCGTATATGGCCCATTTAGTTATAAACCGACGTTAGCTTCACGTTTATGTCACACCATGGAAACAGCCAAAAACATGTTGCTTGTTTTTGAGCGGAGCGGATCGCCAACCAGTAGGGCTTGTTTTCCTCTATCAATACACAAATCAAGGTTGCTGGTCCTAAGGTTTGGTCTTACTAATTCTATGTTCCACTAGTAATAGATAAGTATGGATTATAGCAGATACAGCCACAATGGAGATATGCCTCAGTGCAAGTAACAATGCTCAGTTTTTTTACAGGAACAATAATTAGGTGGACAAACCAAAATCATTACTGTCAGACTTCTGAAAAATAATGTTACCGGTAATTAATATTGTGTCCTGTAGTGTATGACTGGCTGCTGAAAACGCTTTAATACCCCAGTAATTGATTTTTGGAATACCAGTAAACAGGAATTATTTTTCTAATAAATAGTGCATCATTTTATATAAAGTAAATAATTTATTCCTTGAATTGCAGGGATCGGTTCTCTGAAGTACATGGTAATATGTTTGTTGAGGAATGTGACAAGTGTGGAAGGTGAGGCGAAAATTGCTACTGTAAACATTTTAATTCTCAAGCAATTTTCACAGTTTTTGTACTTTATGGCATTTGTAAAGACAATATTTTCTCTGACACTCCATGTCGGTAAACCCAAGAGAAATTTTCGTTTTTACATATTTTGTGATTTTTAATGTTCTGTGAATATTTGTCTCTTGCAAATAAAAGTGGACTGCAGTATGTTGTCAATAAATCTCACCATTTATCGACACAAGTACTGGAAATAATTAAAACTTCACTTCAACATCTTTATTCTTGACAGATAGTTAAAATGAATTGGAAAAATTGGAGTCAGCAGCCAATGTGTTATAAAAAGTACCAGAATTTACTGATTAAGTATCATGACAAAATGCATGACTTGCATTCCAACAACTCTACACAAACACAGTACAAAACAAGAATACAGTCTGTCCACAGGTTTGCAGTAGTTCTAGTCAAAGGTGGCATTCTGTTGGCTGGGGTTGTAGTCATGCTAACTGTCATGTGTACTGTTCCCGTCATCCGCATAGATTAAAACATCACAGTATTTTATCATAATCAGTAAAGGATTTCTACAGAATAACTTTCTGCTTCTGTCCTATAAAAAAAATATATTCTCCGGGCCAACATTCAGACATTTTCACTGTTGGATAGTCTCAGAAATCTGTACTTTTGAATACTTGTTGAGAGTCTCCTGAAAAGTCTAACAAGATTACCCCTACATGTGCAATTTGGTTGCTCAGGATTGCTTCAAAATTTGTGCCATTTTAAGCGAGAGGGTCGTCACCTGCACATGCGCAGGAATTGAGTCCCAAGCGATGATAACAATTCAAGCTAAAAACGCAAAGGCTCATGAGTAGATACTTGTTTGTAAACAGTGGCATGCTATGGCCATCTGACGCATGCGCAGGTGACGACTCCCCTCACTTTAATCGACTTTAGCTGTTTTCATCGGCTCTTCAAACAGCATTCCACAGCAGCTTACGCAGATTCCATAGAAATACATGGTACAGTGGTCTTTGTCATAGCAACGTAGAAAGTTCTGTGATGTAACTCTGTCCCGAAGAATTGACGTCATCCCACCAAAATAATAATGGTTTGCCAAATGTCAGGATTCATTACCATGACAACAAAACTAACCATTGAGAGCACTTATATGTAATCTACTCTGAGAATAATAATACATGTTTGTACCTTTCTATGTTTCTAACCTCCATGTAATTGTTATTATTTGTAGACAGTATGTTTGTGATTCAGCCGTTCCAACTGTTGGTTTAAAATTAACTGGTAATATCTGTACATGGAATAAAGCAAAGGGACGGTGCAGGTATGACTTTAACCATTCTCTGAGCATCGACTAATTATTGCTATTGGTGGTGTGCTTGTGGAATCTCAAATCAGTCTCTGCTATAATGAGCAACATTTTATTCCCAAATTTATTTTTTTGAATACGCTCTATTATTCATCGTTCAGTATTTTATATAAAAACATAATGTAAGGTAAAAGTATGATACATAGCAACTAAAACATCACCCAATACTAAACAGTAGGTCCACTCTTGAGTGCAGTGGCATAAACGTGCTGTACCAGTGATTTCCACGGAACATTCAGCACAAGAAATGTGAGAATATGATTAGCTTTGTAGTTCTGTCGAAACAATTCAAATAAAGCACAGAAAACAAAGCAGAATACATTCTTTTTTCTGGTTAAGTGATTTCATATAATGATCTGTTTGTCTTTCTAGTGTTTTTAAGTAGAACTACTAGAGTCATTCAAGTGTTCACTGTAAACATAATGATATTTACTTATCCACTAGAGATGGAAAAAAAAACCCTTACTGTATACACATTAGTTATTCACTGGTTTCTAATTTCGCTATTTTCGTTTCATAAAATTAGCTGAATTAAATCCATGTGAAGATGTGAAATAACAATAAAACTCATTGTTTTCCTGCCACGTTTTGAAATTAAATTTCAGTGAGAATAAATGGTTTTACAGTACTGAGGGTTCTTTTTTTACTTATTTCTGCCTTAGAGGACGTTTACGGGATACAATTCTGGACTGGGAAGATGCGTTACCGGAGAGAGATCTATTCTTAGCCGATGAACATTCCAGGTGATGACTTATTGCTGGTTAGGGATAAAGGAAAATCCGTATTGAACTTTACAGTATAATAAAATAAAAAAGGCACTAGACTGCAACTAAATTTGATATTGACAATTTTTGTCTCTAGTTGATTTCACTCTTCCAGAATGCTTTTAAAACTGATGAGCTCAAATATTGACTTCTCACTGGATCATTACCATGACTACCCAAATTTGATACATTGCATCTGTTTTGTTTCATCTTCCAATTAGCTGGTTATGACCAAATCATACACACTTATTGTATTATTGGGCAACCAAATCACACGCACTTATTGTATTATTGGGCAACTAAATCACACACACTTATTGTATCATTGGGCAACCAAATCACACACACTTATTGTATCATTGGGCAACCAAATCACACACACTTGTTGTATCATTGGCGACCAAATCATACAAACTTATTGTATCATTGGGCAACCAAATCACACACACATATTGTATCATTGGGCAACCAAATCACACACACTTAATGTATCATTGGGCAACCAAATCACACACACTTATCGTATCATTGGGCAATCAAATAATTTTAGGTACATTTCAATAATAAATAAATAAATAAATAATATTAGGTACATTCCAATAGTTAACTTTTTAGTAATGGCATATAAAATCCATATCTTGTATTTGAGCAGGGCTGCTGATGTATCATTGTGTCTTGGTACATCGCTGCAAATTATGCCAAGTGCTAATCTACCTCTTCGTGCCAAGAAAAACGGTGGTAAACTAGTTATATGTAATCTACAACCAACCAAACATGTAAGTCATGACTGCTTAGTTTTTATCTGTGTGTTGGCATGCAGGGGGAAGCATGCTTGTGGCCTGGAATGTCAAAGTTGAATGATATGCTAGTGGTATTGTAATATTATTTTGCTGTGTTAGCACTCTGCTCAGATTCTTTTTATTTTAATGTTTTGATTTTACTTTATTAACAAAAATGTATAGGTAGTACCATCACACAAAAATAAAACACCTTTTTTTAAGCAATATTATCAGTGCCTTTGGTGTTCAGTTTCGACTGGTTCACCTCTATAAACCAAACACCTTGGTAAACTGAACAATATTATCAGTGCTTTTGGTGTTCGGTTAAGACAGGTTTCGCCTCTATGAACCAAACACCACTAGTAAACTGAACACTACTACCAGTTTAAACAGGTTTAACCATAAAAAGTCTTCATAACCTGATTAATAACCTGGTTTTAATCTATGTAGGCAAATAGAATGTACAGATATGTTTTATGTTGGAACATGAAATCCTTCAACATAAATAAATGCTTACAAAGCATGCTTTCATCTCCTGAGCAAAACATTATGTAACTAATTAATAATTGTTCTAATTATGCAAATTAGCTAATTAACATAGTATTTTTGTTTCCTGCATCTTATTACCGTAAAATCTGTATTAGAAGCTGCATCCTTAATAGAAGTCACACCCATTCTTTTTAGCTACGCTGTCGACTTTGTCGAGCGGAGCTTATCATATGAGTGATTGTCCGTCGTCGTCATCGTTGTCCATCGTCCGTGTCAATGTTTTACTTTTTCGACTTCTTCTTGAAAACTACAAGCCTGAATGCTTTGATACTTGGTGTATATGTACCTTGGGTAGACCTCTCTTAGATTTGTTCATTTCATGTTGACATCTTCAATTCTCTAATTTTGGTGAATATTTTTGTCATTTTTGGTAAAAAGTGATATTTTCAACTTCTTGTTAAAAACCGCAAGTGCAATTGCTTTGATATTACATCTATAGGTACTACATGTGGACCTCTCTCAGATTTGTTCATTTTGTAATGATATCTTTAATTCTCTAATTTTGGTGAATATTTTTATCATTTTTGGTAAAAAGTGATATTTTCGACTTCTTGTTAAAAACCACAAGTCCGATTGCTTTGATATTACATATATAGGTACTACATGTGGACCTCTCTCAGAGTTGTTCATTTTGTGATGATGTCTTCAATTCTCTAATTTTGGTGAATATTTTTGTAATTTTTGGTAAAAAGTGATATTTTCGACTTCTTGTTAAAAACCAATAGTTCAATTGCTTTGATATTACATATTTAGATACTACATGTAGACCTTTCTCAGATTTGTTCATTTCATGATGATATCTTCGATTCTATAATTTTGGTGAATATTTTTGTCACTTTTGGTAAAAAGTGATATTTTCGACTTCTTGTTAAAAACTGTAAGTCCGATTGCTTTGATACTATACATATTGTTCATTTTCTAATGATGTCTTCAGTTCTTTAATTGAAATGTGCATTGCTAACAGCGGAGCTATCTCAGCCGATAGGCTGCTTGTTTAACAATTGGGGATGACAAATTCACCATTTCTCATATGTGTAGATGCTCTAATAGAAGCCTCATCCCCTGTGTTGCATTGTAACATTTTATTATAAACCACGGCTTCTAATACATATTTTACAGTAATATTACTGAATAAGGTAATACATACTAGTACACTGTGATTTTCAAAAACAGAAATTTGGATTCTCTGATTGTAATTGTGTGTATTTAAATATTAATCGTATATATTATATTTGGCAGGATAAAAAAGCTGATCTTCTGATCCATGGTTATGTAGATGATGTGATGTCACAGCTAATGACGCAACTTGGGATTCCTATACCTGCGTACAAAGGACCGACTGTTGTACTCAAGTCAAAACACCCCACGCTGATAACAATACCAGGGTTAAAGGATAAACAGATTATAATAAAATCAGCTCAAAACTGCGGTACGAATAATACTAAACTTATGTCTTCTCTTGAAACAAATTCCAAAAATGCACATGTCAAGTTGAAAGAGATCACTGACAAGGAGGAACTGTGTCATACTCATGAACTTGTTGATGTCAAAGTCAAAAGCGATAAACTGAAATCTTTTTCACAAACAACAGAACTGCAATCTAAGGATATTTCTGATTCAACTCAGGGCAATCAGCGTAACAGTATTGTTGACATTGCTGTGAAAGCAGAAAATATTTCTGATGTAGCTATAGGAGATTGTATTTATTTAAATAAGCGGACAACTGATGGAATTGTTGGTAATGAACATCATGAAAAGAAATTAAAAATAAACAAAATTCATTAGGGTGTTTTGTAAGGTATATTTGCTGGAATTTATTTTAGCTTTGAATCATTCCTTCAGCGAAAACAGCGAAAATTAATTCCAAGTGAAGTATTTTACATACTGAATTAGTTTGTCTGGTGTTAGTGACTTTCCTGTAGAAGGGATAGTTTTCAAGCACAGGTATTGGTCTTTGTTAATTTTGTTGCATAGACCATTGTCTTTCATGAAATTGGTTCTCGACATCTACAGCATCCTATTTGGGTAGAGGAAAACAAATTTTTATAATGCTGGTATATATCCCAGTTTTTTTATTAGTGTTTTTGTCAGAATTTTAGAAAAAAAATAATAGAAAAATTCAACTTCCGTAAAAAATCAAAAATAAGAGCACAATTTTAAAATAATGAAAGAGATAGAAGAAGAAAAATGTTCATGAAAATTGAGCAGAAACTTTTTTTTGTCTCGGCCTTATCTCGCCACATCTTGTTCTCAGAGAGTTCTACAACTAGTTTGTTAGTTATCCTCATCAATCAATGTACTATCTGTATGAATATGCAATTTCTATCAGAGTTTTTACGCAAAGTTCAGCATTTATATCGTTATTGTAAGTTGAATACAGCAATAGAAATTTACAAAAAAAATCAATTGTGTTTGTCAATCATTGAGTGAATAGCAATATATTATTTTGTCATTTGATTTTAGAGGACTTATGTGCATATTCTCCTAAAATGAGCTTTACGCGCATTACATGAGGGGAAAGTCTATCATAAAAATCACAAGTACTATGGAAAAGAAAAACAAATTAAAACTAGTAAAATTGACTACAGTGAGGGATATATTTTGAGTGCTCTCTTAAATGATGAATGTGAGACTGAATGGCGGTTTGAAAAGGATATGCAATTGTAAATGTTTGGACCTGAATATATATATACATGTACCATACTTCTTCTATTACCATATGTACTCATGTACATGTTAGAAGTGAGTCTATGGTAAAAAAAAAGTTGCATTTTAATGATCCAGTATACAATAATTGCAGTATGTTATGTATATGATATCATTCTGTACAGTATGTAATCACGCAATGGCTGCACAAAACAATAGACCATTTTCCGTACACTGCGAGAATCACGCGTTATGCGTGAAATCGAACGTAAAAACAGGACAAACAAAGGTCATAGCGTCGTAGTCGCGTCAAACATCGCGTGGGATTCGACAAACGCGAAAGTATTTCGGGGACATTTCCATGCTTAATAATGTGCTGTCCACATTTGATGATAGGCAATTTCGATTAAGTGAGGGTATTCGGAAGCAATATTCCTCTGTCGAAGATCGGCCGGTCAATGTAAGCTGCGAAATAAAGAAATTCTAGTTCAAAATCAAATCGTTCGATTTTTGCGGCAGACGTTCGACGCGCGTCTTTCATGCATCTCGCGAGATCTCGCAATTGTTCGGAAAATCACCTATTCATGTTATGTCATCTACCGGGTATTTTGGCAATGTGGCAAGCATGGGGTAACTTATATTTCATGAATGATGTGATTTTTGTTTCGTCTTAGTAACTTTAAACTTCACCACTAATTTGAATCATATTCTTCCTCACTGCAATTATAATTTTGTGTGACTGCTGTCTTGGTATGTGTGATCAGTCAAAACTTGCCTTGGATCTATGCAGTGTTTCACTGGTAGGACACCACACTGACAGTTCACAATGATACTAGTATTACGCCATTGACCATTTGTAATTTTGCGAATGTTTAGACCCACAAAAAGATTATTTGTTTCTGGTCAGTGCACATCAGTTCTAAAGAGACTTTTTTTTCTGTTATTTGCCGAAATATTGTGAAAACGAACAAAAAAGCTGCATAAGAAAAGCTACCTTAGGACCAGAATTAATTGTTGATACATTTGTTACTGTGAAATACTTTACTGGAATTAATTTTCGCTGAAAAGACATTTTGGGTGTTTTGTATGGAATTTATTTTCAATGATTTTTGATGAGTTTAATGTGAAATATAGGGAAAAAAGTATATTCGCTGGATTTTATTTTCACGGAATCATCCCTTCAGCGAAAATAGCGAAAATAAATTTCAAGCGAAAATAAAGTATTCTACAGTACATGAAATAAAATACGCTATGTTGATTTGTCAATTTAAATGGTGCATGGTGGGAAAGACTTTCTAGTCTTGTGTGGAGATGCAGTTAGAAGAAGGGTAATGTGTTCAGTCGAATATGAGGAACACAATTTTTTTGTGCTTTGCATTGCACAAATATTTCAGAAAAATTAACACAGTTACTGAGTCATAATCAGAACTATAAATGAAGCACCTGATAATGGTCCACCACAAATAAAATACGTTTTATTCATTTAAAATCAATACCGGCACGATGGTTGAACATTTCTTCTTGCTGACACAAGAGGGCGTGCTCAGTTCACGATAAAATCTGCATTATATTTCTCTGTGAGAGATGAGGAGCCACTCACATACAGCAGAAGAAGTGTATAATTTAGGTTACGCTAAACCGATACTCACATAGCGTTAAAATGCGTCTAAAATAAATGGTTTCAATAGTTGTAAACAACATTACACGCGACGACTACCGCCCGTTAAAGCGGGGGGGGGGGGGTCGTCACCTGCACACGCGCGGGAATTGAGTCCCAAGAAGCGAACAACACATGCTAAAAACGCAAAGGCTCATGGGTAGACGCTTGTTTATAAACAATGACACGCTATGCTCATCTGACGCATGCGCAGGTGACAACTCCCTCGTTTTAAACTTGTCCATCGTGACGATTTATTTCATATGTTCACTGTCACGAAATACTAGTATTTAAAGGGTGGTGGTCGTCGCGCTGCGCAAGTGCGACATTTTTGTTGATAAAAATTGATTTTCCAACAATCCAAATCGCTCTACTAATGGTCATCACAAGTATGAGGTTTGATCTGGGGGCGACTTGCACTAATTACCGCCGGTGACTCCTTCGATATCGGTGACATAGCAGTTTGTACTCATTGATCTGCGCAACAGTCATCTCGCGCATGCGTGGCGCGGCGACTACCGCCCTTTAACGTATACATCGTGGCGACACATGCAACTTGTTCACCGTCACGATATACTTAACTTATACACCGTGACGATATATTCAATTGTTACCGTGATGTTATATTTATTTCATACACCGGGACTCTCCCAGTATGCTCCTCCGGGTGTGAATGACGTACATTGCATCCGTCATGCAAGCTCTGTAGGTATTGGATTGCTATTTTATTTTTGTTTCATTAAAGTTTAATATAAGTAGTAGAGAGCGAAATGTGGTTATTGCTGTTTGTAACATAACAAGCAATAATTTTAATATAATTATCGGCTACAATACGCGTGCGGTTACACCTTCGTGCAATAATTTAAATGTAAACAAAACAGAAATAACCGTAGTTCCGGAAATGAACGTCGGAAATCAACCACCTGTTTCTAGATTGCCTTTTTGAACTTTCAATTTTTAATTTAACAAATTAAATAAGCCTGCTGCCAACCTGTTTCCAATAATTAACACAAAACTGTAATACTTTCGTCAATATTATACGATAAAGTAAAACAAAAAATCCGCGCCAACGATTGTTTAAAACCGCAATCGCTCGTGACATTACTAGTAAGGGGATTTCCTGCATAAATTAACACAAAGTTGTCAGGATTGCGCATGCGCTTTATGGTATATGTGCGTTAGCTATGGTGACGTCATATCGTTAAGGTGAATACTCTAACAACAAACCACGGTGACAGCGAAGCCCTGCGAACTTGTACTACTTGTTTTACATGCTCGGCTGTTGACGACGGAATCCTCACATTGTACAACGTTTGTAGACAGTGTTTCAAAGTTACGAGTCCGGTCCCTTCAATTATAGAATGCCCACAAGTATGACACCGTCGAATGAGTTCTGGATAGCGGAGTCCAAAAAGGATTCGAGTTTCGATGACAATTATAATCGGGGCAAGGAGCTAGGACGGTAAGTACAACCCGTAGAATTTAGTTAGTTATAGTAAAACTGTCTAACGGTTCTAAATTAAATGCAGCTTACATAGACACGCACGTGTAACGCGGTTCCGATTGTCGTGTTCGGGCGATTTAGTTTGGAGACACTGGAAGCTTCGCTCACTGATCGATAAATTACAGGTACTTTTACAGTTATCGGACATCAAACATACCAATCATCGCATACAATAAGCCGTATCTCGTTTCCACAAACAGACAACACGTAGAGATGCCAGTTCGATATACTCGCACATCAAAATATTACATTTATTATTATTTTATCGCGCGGAATATTTAATCGACAACTTGAATTATTTGACGACTGATTGTTACGCAGCAACACCGGCAAACTCGGGGCATTTCGCCAATGACAGTCAGTTTGTATATGACCATCGCTCCAGGTACGCTGGGCATGTATCGCCACACCAGACGAAATAACCGTGACATCCATGAATCAAACATACATCACAGCAACAATCTTTTTTGGAAAACTATTGTAAACTTAGCGATATATTTCAAATTGGCCAAGTTACCCTGGAAAGGTGTGTACGACTGGGAAAATTACATTGCGATGTTTAAGGCTTGTGCACGGTATAAATTGATGTGATAACGTTATCGACGTATGAAAAACTCATGAACATTTGTCGAAACTATACAAATACAGTGATGAGGGACCGTTTGGGAACATATATTGCACCCACCCCACCCCCCCCGGTTGCGGTAATTTTATCTTCTTTTTTTTTTTTTTTTTCGTTTCTTATGATGACATTTTTTTTATCCAGCCTTGTCATCATAGCAGTCTCCAGAGTAATCGTGCGAATAATCGATTATCGTTTGTAACAATGTAACAGCATCGCAGTAATAATGGAGTTAATGTTCACTAACACAAGGCAGCTCATGGGGACAATGAGTTGCTTTTGATTATAAGTCATGATTTGTCCAATATACCAATCTTAGTAAAAAAATATTGAATTGTAACGTACATACAATACATGCAACTCGTATATTTAAACAAAGACATGAGAAAAATGTCTTTGATTTAATCAGACCACATTCCCAGAATATAGCTAAATAAATTACAATCTTACATGTAAAGGGTTGGGTTCACTCTTTTTTAAAATGGAATCAAATAACTAAATGAACAATGGTGTTAGTGGTGGAATCTCTAAATTGTTGGAGGCTAAAGTTTCATGCTGGTGTGGATAATCCTTACTCCAATGTCTGTGCTGTGTGCACTCATTATTTCTACATTGCTCTCCATAGAAATCTAAATCCTAAATGTCTATTTGCTCCAACACTACTGAAAAGTACTTTAAAGGGGTTAATTATTCACTGAGTTTTAATTTTGCTTATTTCGCTGACTGGAAAGTATGCAAAATTTAGCATAGAACACATTATCTAAATGATAAAACCGTGAATTTAAAACCCACTGAATATGCCTGAAATGGTAAATCAGCAAAATTTAAAGCCAGTGAAAATTACTCACTTGAAATTTATTTTCACTATTTTCGCTGAAGGAGTGACGGTTGACTCGTTTTTTTAAAGCATGATACAATTATTTCACAAAACACACCCCTGCTTGCCACATTAGAAAATTGTCTGGATTGGAAATGAATAGCATTGCAGTATATGCATTACCACTGAAAAAATATTATTTCAAGTTCCACATTGAAAACTTGCAGGAGGGAGGGGTATTTCGGTAATAAAACATGTTGTGGGTGATTTGCCTAATTATTTTTATTCTCATTTTTCACAACTCATTGCAGTTGTTGTGGAATTTTTTAATTTTTTGTTTTTCATCCACAACTATATTTTTCTTTCTCAAATCCTGTAATCAGTTTTCAAATGAAAAATCCCTAAATGTAAACTATATCTATTTATGTAACCTGTCACTATAATTCTGTTAACCATAGCAACAAGTACATTTTGGGTAAAACAGCTCAACATTACAGTTGCCGCTTGAAATACAGGTCTCATGCAACATGCTCGTATAAAATTGAATTTGTTTACACATTTTTCACTACGTACATGCAACTATGGAGCTTTAATCTAATTCTGCTAATTGCCTACAATTGTAATGGGGTTGTGGCATTTTAACTAAATTAAGCCAGATACACTGAAATGTATACGCTAATGCAATGTGTTTTAATGCGCTGCATTCCGTAACTAAGGACATTCCGTAACTAAGGACTTAAACTAAACCCTGGGGAATTATAAATCTGTGCAGGAAAATGCAAACACGCATACAAAAAATGCAAACACATCTGTTAGAGGAGAGCATCGTCCGCCTGCACCATGCTGTTGTTTCGTTTGAACATTCCTCCCTCTGATAGTGGAGTGCTTCGTCGAAACATTCACCTTGAAAATTCAAGATGGAAGAGAGTAAAACAAAATTTACAGGAAGATCAACCGGAAACAAAATTCTGTTCAAAACTAAATGAAATAAAACAATATTTATTACAATTCTTTTAAATTTTGCAAAAGTGTTTATGTTTACAACAAGGTTATCGATATTTGTTTCTACCTCCACACATAGCAGAAATGAATGGGGAAAAACAGAATAAGCAGTTGATGTGTTCAGACAAAATTGTGAAAATGGCATGAAACTATATCAGTCTGTGATTGTATTTTCAGACATCTATGAGTTTTGCTAATTCTACTCATGAGAGACAACAGGCACAGAAATCTTATTTTGTCATATCTATCTACTTTGTACTCTGTATTGGCAGTGGACTGCAATAAAATCTCATTGATTCAAACTTTTGTGCTTTCATGTGTGATGCAAAACATGTATATGATTTCATCATCAAATTATTCAATTTAGCAAAAACTGTAAATATTTTACATTCAATAGCAGTCAAAAAACAAATCAGGTAAAACTGTAAATGATATGATTAAAATTAAGGACATTAAAAAATTAGTTTCACGTAAAATTAATTTCATGTAATGTAAAAATGTATTTTATTATGAACAGTTTTTACATAAATAGTTTAATATTAAATCATGTGACTTGAATCAGTTATACGATTGGTTAATACCCATATTTGATATGAAGACACCTGTTGAATCAGGTTCTCTTAAAGCTGTCTTTCCATGCAAATACATTTATTATGAATTTAAAATAAATACAAACACAATATCAATATCAGGCAAGCAGATTATTTAATCACTGATTAAATTTAGTCAGCAAAATTTGATTGCATAAATAAATCAAACTGTTTTTCCAGCAAGTTTTTGCAATAATTGTGATGTTGATTTTTGATGACGATGATACCTTTGCATGGGGTGATTTCCTGTTTACAATGCAATCATAGTCATTTGTGGAAAACATTTACTTATGATTGAAATTCAGGACATGAATAACCTTACTAAACCCATTCATTTTGACTACCTGCTTTTTATGGAAGATGTGAGTAAATAAACATAAACTGCATACCAGTAGTATTCATAGACAGTTTTATTGATGCAAAAAGGGAAATATATGTTCAGAACATGGTACCTATTAGATTGTTCTAGTACATGGCCACATCTAGAAACCTGGTTCTATTTTATGATATCTGGAAACCTGGTTCTATTTCATGATATCTGGAAACCTGGTTCTATTTCATGATCACATATGGAAATCTTTTTCCTTTTCATTACCACATCTAGAAACCTGGCTCTATTTCATGGCCATATCTAGGAACCTGGTTCTATTTCATGATATCTGGAAACCTGGTTCTATTTCATGATATCTGGAAACCTGGTTCTATTTCACAATATCTGGAAAACTGATTCTATTTCATGATATCTGGAAACCTGGTTCTATTTCATGATATCTGGAACCTGGTTCTATTTCATGATATCTGGAAACCTGGTTCTATTTCATGATATCTGGAACATGGTTCTATTTCATGATATATGGAAACCTGGTTCTATTTCATATCTGGAAACCTGGTTCTATTTCACAATATCTGGAAACCTGGTTCTATTTCATGATATCTGGAAACCTGGTTCTATTTCACAATATCTGGAAACCTGGTTCTATTTCATGATATCTGGAAACCTGGTTCTATTTCATGATATCTTGAACCTGGTTCTATTTCATGATATCTGGAAACCTGGTTCTATTTCATGATATCTTGAACCTGGTTCTATTTCATGATCACATTTGGAAATCTTTTTCCTTTTCATTACCACTTCTAGAAACCTGGCTCTATTTCATGGCCATATCTGGGAACCTGTTTTAGAATATGGCTACATTTGAAAACTGGTTCTAGTTTATGGTCACATTGGGCAATCTGATTCTAGCACATGGTCACCTTCAAAAACCTGGTTATGTTTCATGACCATATCTGACCAACTAGCATTTAATTTTGCTAATTAGATTTTGAGCATATTGACTGGGTTTTTAATTCACAAAATTACCAGTATATGTTTTATTGTTATTATACCTGTTTGTGCAGATTTAATTTAGCGGATTTTGCTTAATAACAGAAAAAATAGTGAAATTAAAACCTAGTGAATAATTAATGCATTTACAGTAACCACAATCTCTCACAATAGTTGATCGATATAAAAGTGGATAATTCTCATGAAGTTGCATATGTAACATTTCGACGAGCTTTGAGTACACTTTTACAATCTATAAACACATTATAGGCTTCACAAAGGAATCTACCATTCTTGGAAGGGGTGGTGAAAGGGGATGATGAAATCTACCCCTGTAAAACCATTTATTTTCACTGTGTTTTAATTTCACGAATTTGTCAAGGAAACAATGAGATTTTTTATTTTACATGTTCAAGTAGATTTAATGTAGATTTATTTTACTTTTGTCAGTGCAAATAAATTGAAACCCAGTGAACAATTAGTGCATTTACAGATTTACAGTACTAGTATTCTTTGGAGGGCTCCTGGAACCTACCATTATTGAAAAGGGGTGATGGGGGTCTACAATTCATAAAAGGGAGAATGTCCCTAATATTATGTTATAGTAAAGTTAGTTTACATGTTCCATTCTTAACCATCCCCATTTTACAGAATATTAAAATGAAATTGACAGACAAAGATAATTTATTCATTCCCTAGGCCAGGCCTTAATGTAAAGCAGAGTAGGTACAATCCAAGTATACAATTGGTACAGTGTTTTCATCACACTAAAAGCTTTCATTCAGATCTCACTATATTGTATAAATAAGAATAAATTGAGATTGAATCAAGTGAACAATAAAGTATTTATTCCATATTAAAGACAATGCAACTAGTCATCTAGCAAGTTAATCTATTCTATTTTTAACTTTGTTGGTTGCATGTGTGTGTATCGTAAGCATATATTGCTTTCTTAGTAACTTGAGCAAATGTTTTTAACGTGAAGAAGACTTAGGGTAGAAGTATATGTGAAGATTACGTAATTTTAATCTGTGGCTGAGGCCTTTGAATTTTCCGTTTGTTAAATTATAATTTTTAATTGAAATAAAAGTAAATTGAAAAGTTATATGACTTTTATATGCATCACTATGAAGCTTCTATTTGCTTATCATACATATTAGCAAATTATGTGGAGCTACGGTGATCTCCCCCCTACCCTATTTAGTTCTTAGTACCCAAATCTAGGTTGGTTATAAGCTTTTCACATTGTTATTTATTGGTATTATGTCACAGATAATGTTGAACAAATACGACATCCGTGTTTAAAGCGCTGTAGTCGTCGCGCTGCGCATGTGCAAGATATATGGGTCTCATATAGGCAAAGATGGCGACTTTGACTGTTGCGCAGATCAACTAATATGAACTGTTCCAAGCTTTATTTAGGTAATTTTCATGTGATTGGAAGGTATCAAATGAGTCACCGGCGGTAATCAGTGCAAGTCACGCCCAGGTCAAACCTCATACTTGTGATTTCCATTTGAAGAGCGCATTGGATTGTGGGAAAATCAATGTTTATCAACACAAATGTTGAACACGAACACGTTGAGCGCGACAACTACCGCGCTTTAATATACATGCAGCTGTATGTTTGGAACAAGTACAGAATTGAAATGAAATGTCAATCAAATGGTTACGGTAATACTAAGAAAATATATTAGGTTGATTTATAAAGTAACGTACGATGTAATCGACAGATGGAAGATTCATAAAAAAAAATCAGTTCATTATTTATTAAGAGAAATGTGATCCATGTACCATGTAATAACTGACAGCTGCTGGTTTCAAAAATATTAAATAATTGATATGTTGATGTGATCGTAGTCTTTCAGTGTCTATATTTTCAGCAATCCTTTCGGCTTATTGCAATTTTGCAACTTTGTAGCTTATAGGCCATGATGATGATACATAATTTGAAACAAACAAATTAGGATGACCAATTTAAATGACCAAAATGGCCGACAGTCAGCCATATTTTATTAAACGGTAAAGAGAAAATCAATGTGTATATTTAAATCATCATACCTTGTCTTTGTGCTAAGTTTGAAATGAAAGAAAGCATGTCTGAGAAGTGGTTTTGTATGGACAGATGGACGAATGCATGCATGGAACCCAAATTACCGGTACTGGCTAGTCCCTGATTTTGGACTTGATTTTGGGTTAATTTTATTTTTCAAGTTAGAGTTCACAAGAGTTTGAATTTAATATTCCGTAGAGCCTTGAAAAATAAATAAAAAACACAGAAACAAGCTTGGAGACCTATTTTCAAATTTACTTGATCAGCAAATAAAAGACAAAATAAGCAATAAGTATTTCACGGTTGGGTCTAAAAACCATCCTGTAGACATATGGTATGCTAAAATATTCATATCAGCTCTACTTGCATACAAGATTAGGATATATTTTGATTCCTTCAACATAATTTAAAAATATTATGACTGGATGTCATAAATGGAAGTTTTCACAATTGCAAAGTTCTTTTGCTGAAATTCTCACAAACTAAAACAAAAGTTTTATACAGTATTCATTTGTCGCAATACTATGCATAATTTTGATTCGATTGTAGCTCGTAAAGGAAGTAATTTTATGTATCAAATATTTATTTAACATGGTTTGA